TCTCTGGATAACGCGAATGACCCCAGCGATCCCATCGTCAACAGGTTGCTGCGTTCTATGGCTGCGCAGGCCATGTCTAATGCACTGTATTTCTCCACCGGATCATGTGCGGAGGAAGAGTTCCATCATTATGGTGAATGATAAATTTTCCTTTGTAGCCATAACCTTGAGCAGATTGTTTAAAAACTATTTTTTTGTTTATTTAGATCATTTGGTTTCTTTTTGAAGGTCTTGCATTAGATAAATATACTCACTTTACTTCTCCAATAAGAAGATATTCAGATATTATAGTACACCGATTGTTAATGGCAGCCATTTCAAAAGATAAGAAAATGGAAATTAAGGAAAATTTGTTCAGCAACAAAGACCTTGAAGAATTATGCAGACATATCAACAACAGAAACCGAGTAAGGGGACTTTAATTTCTCTTACCTATCCTCTCTTTTGCTAAGAGAATATCAGCTTTATTGTATAATAGAATGAAGTATCACATATTCTAGCAAATTCTAGAATTCTAACAAGTGAAATAACATGAAAAATTATAAAGTTTGTCAAGTAGCTCTCAGTACATTTACAAATGTTCAAAAATACCTTAATGTGGATTTAGGAGATTTAACAATAGGTTAGATGTTTTTCCCAAAATGTAGAAATGTAAAAGATCGTCTATCATCTCACAACCCAGAGATAACTATTATTAACAATTCTAGACAGTTTTTTTAATAAAAATCATACCCATTGTTTTGAAATCTGCCTTTTTTTTACTTAACACATCTGTTCTTGATAGCACACTATGTCAGTATAGTTATATCATCGTTTTAGAAGCTACTTTGGGTTGTTTCATATTCTTGCTAGTGGCTTCATTCAATACTGCACAACATAGAACTAGCCCATTTATAATACAGAAAATTAGAAACTACCTAAATGTTTAATATAATTTCTATATCCAATGTTATAGTTCTGTGCTCTGCAGTTATTATAGCCACCAGCCATGTTGTTATGCTATTTAAATTAAAATTTTTAAAAATTAAAAATTCAGTTCCTCAGTCTTACTAGCCACATTTCACATGTTCAATAAATGTGTGTGGCTAGTGTCTACACGGATATACATTTTCACCATTGCAGAAAGTTTTGTTGCGCAGCGCTGTTCTAGGCAATCCAGTTTACAACCATCCTTGTGTGTGTGCACTTTTACAATCTTCTCAGGTTATTGCCTGGATAAATTCCTGATGATAATGAATTGCTGAGATAAAAGGTATACGTATTGATACATATTACTAAATTGCCCTCCAGAATAGTAGTACTAATTTATACTTCCACCAACAGGATTTTGGTAGGACAGACTTGAAAATAAAGATAGACATAGATATGGATACTTTCTCTCTACCTGAATGAACTATACACAGGTTCTAAATAACAAACTGGTTGCTTTCTTAAAGAATTTTCTAAGACATTTTTGAAGGAATGATATTGGATGGTTTGGTTCCCACAAAAATTGACTTAACTCTAATAGAGAATATTCGTATTAATGGTTTTATAGAATCAAGCCTTTTTAAAGACATTGTTTCTGTGGGACTATGAATTCCATGGTTTTTCTAGGAATGTCAGGGAAGTCTGTCATCATGCTTTAGGGTTGTGTTTCTTCTCACAGGCAGCACAGCATTCTCAGAAGCAGTCTACTGAGCTCTTCCAGTGCATGTATTTTAAAGACAAAGACCAAGAAACTGAGGAGCGTTGCATATCCGATGGGGTTATTTATTCAATTAGAACAAATGGTGTGCTTGTATTTATACCAAGGTATGTTATGTCTAACAAATAGTTAAGAAATCATAGTTAAACTAAAAGTGTTAAACACAAACAGTATGTTAGGTATCATTTATTAAAACATTTATTTTAGCAATTATTTGTAGTTACTATGTGTAAATAATATATAACTCACTGTGATTATAAAAGATTAGAATATCTGTATCAGTCTTAGGATAGGATTTTACTTTCTGTATCAGTCTTAGGATAGGATTTTACTTTCTTATTTAGCAAGATATTTTTTATCTGATCAATGAAATAAGTATTTGAAGGTAGGTCACAGGAAAAGTTGTTTTTAATCTAGAAGAAAAACTAGCATTCTAGATAAGTGTATAAGATCTGCATACTAAGAATACATTATCTCTGGAATTTTATTCTGGCAATGATTCAGGTTTGGGATTAAAGGTGCTGCTTATCTAAAAAATAAAGATGGTTTAGTGATCTCATGTGGCCCAGATAGCTGTTCTGAATGGAAACCAGGATCCCTTCAACGATTTCAAAACAAAATTACCTCTACCACAACAGGAGGAGAATCTGTAACATTCCACTTGTTTGACCATGTAACAGTAAGTCTGTATTTACATTAGGTATTGATTTTAATGTAAAGAACAAATAATGTGATTTAGTAATATGCATTTTCTCTTCTGATAGGTGAGAATATCTGTACAGGCCTCACGTTGCCATTCGGATACAATCAGGCTTGAAATAATGAGAAACCAACCATACATGATACCAGATACAGAACTTTTTCATCAGAGTTCCCTCTTGCTAAAGAGTGATTTAGTGAAAGAAGTAACTAGATCTGTGGAGGAAGCTCAGCTTGCCCAGGCAGTCAAAGTAAACATCATTCAAGAAGATTATCAAAAATATTGTCAAACCAAGGGAAGAAGCCTGTACACACTTCTGGAGGAGATACGGGACCTAGCTCTCCTGGATGTTTCAAACAGTCATGAAATATAATACTCTTCCTACTTCATTAAAAGAGCTTTTTGCCTTATTGAATGTTTTATCAACATTAACGTTAATCTAATTTTCTGTGTCACCCAATGTTCTAGTTGATTGGAACTAGGTACATATTTCACATACTATGGTCCCCCCTTATCTGCAGTTTCTCTTTCCATGTTTTGTTACCCATAGTCAACCACTGTCCAAAAATATTAAATGGGAAATATCCAGAAATTACAACTCATGTTTTAAATTGCATGCCATTCTGCATACCATGATGAAATCTCTCACCATCCTGCTCCACCATCCCATATCCATCACATACCAGTGGGTATATGCTACCCACTCGTCATTTAGCCATCTCCGTTATCAGACTGACTTGTGCAGGGCTGCAGTGCTTGTGTTCAAGTAACCTTTGTTTTACTTCATAATGGCCCCAAAGCACAAGAATAGTGATATTAGCAATTTGGATATACCCCAAAGAAGCCATAACGTGCTTCCTCTAAGTGAAAATATGAGTTTATGAGTTAAGAAAAAAATCATATGCTGAGGTTGCTAAGATCTACAGGAAGAACGAATTTATGAAATTGTAAAAAATTCATGCTAGTTTGCTGACACCATTCACATAACTTTATTACAGCATATTGTTATATTTTATTAGTGTTAATGTCTTACTGTTCCTAATTTATAAATTAAACATCATAGGTATGTATATATAGGAAAAAACTGTATATAGGATTTGGTACTATCCAAGGTTTCAGGTATCCACTGGGGGTCTTGGAACATATCCTCTGCAGATAAGGGGGACTACTATGTGTAAAATGTTTTCTCATCAACATTTCATTAAATACAATACAATTAGGACACTATGGAAACTGATTTTTCAGAAATGAATGGTGACTGTAAGTCAGGTTACCACTTTTTAATCCAGATTTGATTTGGTTAGGTTGTCTCAAATCAGTTCTTTCAAACCAAGTTTTAATTTTTCCAGTAATTGCTACATTGGGCCATTTGGGTCATCGGCCCCTCTGACAACTGTCAGATTAACTTTTCAGTCACTTTGATAAAACTTAATCTTGTCTACCTACCCACTATTTCATATTCGACTAACCTCTCCTGCTATCCCTAGTACCAGTTGGTGATAGGGCATAGGGACAGGAAATGGGTGAGGTATGCAGGTAAGGTCTGTTCTCTCAAGCCTCCCTTTCCACCCTCATTTTTCTGAGTACTCCTCGGATGATGAGTTGCATTAGTCTTGCCCTCGTTGGAGACTTGTCACTGCTAGCAAAGCCCACCACTGGGAAAATAACTCTTTAGTCATCTCAAGTCGTTGGTGAGGGTAGACAGAGGCCAGAATAGGCCCTCCTGATGAAGTACTTTAGGTATTGGTTGCATCTGAAGAGACTGGGCTCCATCTTCTAGCTGATCCCCTATTGGCAGCAATAAGTCACAATCCTCTGAGGCTTATGCCTCTTGGCCCCTCATTATGCTCATCCCCAGCAAGCCTAAAGCCACCACCCACCAAACCCCATATGCTCTTATACTCAGCTTCCTAGCCTTTCAACCAAAACATCTTTGTCACTCTCCATCCCTACTTGAAATGAGCAAGATACCCATCCCAACTTCATGGATAGAAGCCACTTTAGCACCATTGCTCTGCCAGTTTTTCTCACAAAAAGCAACCTTCCCATCTCCTAGTTTGTAAAAACTAGTTTTACCTTTCCCTCTCCTCCATGGGAATCTCCTGCCAAGAACTAGATAGACCTTTAAACTTGGTTGTCACTGTGGTACTTTCTTATCTGTAATTACCCCTCCACCAAGTTGATAAACTCAGGCAGGAAAAATTCCAATCAGGTCCTCTCATCATCTGGCCCTAACACTTCTAGCTTCATATTCATCATTCCCAAATCTTATTTCCTAGATTTTCATTTCTGTATCATTATTATACATGTACTTCCCAATCCTTGGAATCTCCACTAACTCAATGGTCTCTGATGAATCCTCTGTAGGTGCTCAGTGTTCCTCATAATACTTTGCAAGTTCCTTTTCAACTGGCCAGTAGGTACCAAAGAGCATTTGAACCTCCCTAGCACCTACAAACAAATACGGGCCAGTAAATATATCAACCTTTTCATAAGTATTAAAGTGACTCCTCAGAATACATGAGAACATATATAAAAACCTTACATGTTTAACCCAAAGTGTAAAATGCAGAACTAAACAGCAATGAGAAACTTTCATAAAGCCTCTAGAGATAGTTTGTAAGATTTTTTTTAATGGACAATATTCATTATATATTTACAACTTAAAACACCACTCAATTTAGGGAAAACAAGGCACTCAATAGCACCCTAGCAGCAGAAACTGCTTATTAACTACTAATCATTGTTATGAAGTCATATCTATATAAACACTAAAGAGAATAAATAGACTTAACTAGTTAATAAGAAACAAGCATTATTATAAATCTCAGATTTTAAACAGGAATCTGTAAAGGTTTCACTACATAAGGATTTCAAACCAGACAAAATACACAGTAATCTCAAACTTGGATGATACCAAGTTAACAGACATTCTCTTGGTTGAGGCCTATCCAACCTCAGTGACATTTCTGGATGAAGCATAAAGGTACCGCTGTACATTTTAAAAGGATTGGTCCAGTTGTGTTTTCTCTATTTTTAATTCCTCCTCTTCATTTACAGTATTAGCAGCAGCATCATTATGTGAATTGTCTAGAATGTTTTTGTTAAATCCATCTGACTCCTCTTTTTGTTCTTCACCTATATTATCGTCTTCAATTCTCTGTGCCCTGGGTGTGTTCATTAACAAATCTGAAAGAGAAATCATTATTACACATTATAAGCACCTGATCCTGAATAGAAATGACATCTACGACCACTGTAATTGTTAATTATGACCACTTTCTTCCAAATAAAGCTATTTTTATACATGTATAAAATCCATTAAAAAATGCAAGTCTTGAAAAGACATGCAACGGCAAATGCAACGGTTCTCATTCAAAATCACTACTAGATGGAAGTTTTTAAAAATCAAATGCTCTTAGCTGTCAGAGTGATCTATAGTAAAGAAAATATAAGATAGTTATTTCTATTTGGGCAAATTTTAAAGTTGTATATTTATGTCTACAGCCGTGCCACCCTGAACAGGCCTGATCCTGTCTGATCTCAGAAGCTAAGCAGGGTCAGGAGGCCTGATTAGTACTTGGATGGGAGACCACCTAGGAAGACCAGGGGCTGTAGGTGTAAAAAATTAAAAAATAAGGGATTGTAAGCTGACAAGGTCCTTGCAATCTATGAGGTCAACCAAAGGTTGCCTCACCAAATAAATAAATAATAAAGTTGTATATTTATAAATAGAAGATGAGCCTTAAAATGCTTATTGCTAGATATATTTTGATGACAGCAAGGAAGATACTGCTATTAACAACAGCTATATCTTCATGTAATTTTTCACATGGTAGTAATAAAGCATCTATTTGTAAATTTAAAAATTAAACTCATTTCATGATAATGTCAATTTTCACTTGAGAATTTTATTATGGGTGAAACTCGTTTTATAACATGGTATCTTCACTACTTATTATAATTCTTATTTTCCTATTTCAAAAGGAAAAACTGGAGTAGAAACTGAAAATAACATGTCATCCTGCTTCATTCAAAACCAATTTGTTTTAAAAAACTTGGCTGTCTAGTTTCCAAACCCATAGTCTGTTTTAAAAACAGCAAATATTAAGGCAGTTTTAACAGAGAGAAGGGACTGTAACAGATAAACTGATAGTTCACAACAAAAGTGACACAATGCAATTAAAAAAACATTTTAGGACATTCACATCATAGCAAATGGCTCTAAAATCCTCGATGGGTGCAAAAGGCATTTTATATGTTTAGGAAAGTACCACGATAATTAATGCTCATAATTATAATCCTAAAATTAAATTGTGTGTCACACATTTTAAGTAGTCAAGGAAGGATATGATTTTGAAAGATTCACAATCAACTTTAAATGATTAAAATAACTTTTTAAGAGGTACTCAGCTACTCAGAAAATCATCTTGGACTGTTTATTCTTTGAGGATTCCGAATAGCTAACACACACTCACTATCTCTCTCTCAAACGTACATAAACTTAATATACTATATCATATTTCTATCCCTAGAGGTATTTTATTTTGGGAGATAGTAGAGAAGTTAAAATTTCTAACATGCCCTTGCTATATTAATGGCAGCACATAAAAACCAGCATAAAATTTACCATTTCCTAGGGGCTGACTATTACTCAGTAGCTTTGCCTGCCTTCTTTCCAAGGCCAGTTGTTTATTTCTCTCAATTCTTTGTTGTTGCTCTTCAGTTAGGCTTCTACTTGACTCAGAAGCAAAATTTTCACTTTCAGATGAGTTTATCAAAAAGGGATCTAATTCAACAGCAGTTACATCATGGCTATTATTTTCCCCCACTTCATCTGCAGTAGAAAAAAAAAAGTGAGTATATCTCTAGTATTAAAATAGTTAGAAAAAGAGCTTATACAGCTATTAACTGAAAACCAGTTTAAAGTGACAAGGTGCAAACCAAAACAATTTGTGAGGTATGAGAATGTTACAACACATGCTTGATTCAAACAAGTAAAAGGAATATTTAAAAATCACTTTAAAGAGGCATTTTAAGTCAAATGGAAATACTAGTTTAAAAATATGCATGAACGGAAAACAAAGGTTCTTAGCTATGCTTAGAAATATTTTATGATTGGTCTAATAAAAGAACTTAAAGAATCCAAAGCATATTCTTGTTTTACATTGAACAAAAACATTTTAATAGCTTTTCAGTGTCAGTAATAATTTTACATAAGGCTATTTTTTAATAGGGTAAAACTCAGACACAAAGTGAAAAAGGAAAAGAAATTTAGAGATCTGTGGACATATTTCCAAGTTAATTTTTTAAAAAATTCAGTGCTCTCTACCAGTTATCGCCAAGTAGGATATCACTAAAATAGTTCACAGTGATACGGAAAGTAAATATTAGATCTTCCATTTATATTTCACTTAAGAATTAAGAAAAAATAAGTATTACTAACTCACATTTAAAATAAGGACTGGAAGTGACAAACTATCACTTATCCATACGACAGTTATCTGGGCTGTAAGCTACCTGAACAAAGGCAGCTCCACACTGAGGAAAGGAAGGTTAAGCCCTCACTCATTTATTAATGTCAGCATATTGCGACTTACAGCTGATTCTGACTGCCCCGTTAAGGAGACTGACAGAATAGATCGTTTCAACCAAAACAACCCCAACAAAATGCACAAGTAGCTTAAAAGATTTTTGCAAAATAAAACACCTATAGGTAGAAGATAATACAAGGCCAACCAAGAACAAAGAAAATGGCAAAGCTGACACTTCACTTTTTCTACAGCATTCACATTATTGGGTTTAAAAAAAATGATAACCTCATCATATCTGACAAGTAGGCAAAAAAAATTCATATTACCAAGAGCACCATTTGAAATATGAATTTATATATACCATCTTTGTCCTATGTATTATACTGTACATTGAAGTATTAGCTAGTGAGAGTAAAAACCATCACAACCAGTAAAACATTTAAAACATGAAGACGAATATTTACAGTTATTCTAGTGAGGTTTAAAAATCATGACATTTAATCCAGTCTTTTACAATCCAAACCCCTTTTTAAGTTTCTTCCTTAATAATGAAAGACAAAAGGCCATATATTTTTCCTTCCTGACACAGAAAAAAATATGTTTCAAGAAATTAAAATGCATTCCTTTGTAAGAATATACTAATGAAGTATATGTAGAAAACATTGCTGGAGAAGAAATAAATATTAGAACTAATTATACAACATATAAGGTTTCTAACATGCTTCACCTTATAGGGCTTACAGGATTCTGAATTAATAATAATGAAATACAAAAAGAACTATTATTTTTTTGAGCCATGAAAGATATCATCAGTAGTAAATGACCTCTTTAATACAAACAACATTTTATGGAAAAGCAATGTGAACACAACCACTGATGGAGCTTTGACTAGGATAAAAATGAGATTAAAAACAAATTAGAATCACACATGAAATTCACTCACTGTAGCATTCATAGGCAAGCTATTGTGGCAAAGAAGCCAATGCCAGAAATATTCGATGTACTGCAGGATGTTATCATTTTGGTACACATAAACAAATAAGAAAATTTAATAATAATTAAAGGAAATAATTGCTATGGGAAAAAAAAGCAAAAGAATCAAAAATAGGGAAGGGGTGCAATTTTAACAGTGTGCTTGCAGAGACTTCACAGAGTTGACATTTGAGCACAGTTGGAAGACTTAAGTCAGAGAGCTGGCCATTAGATTTGCAGATTTGGACGTGGGAGGGAGGACGGAAGATAGTGTTCAAGGCAGAGTGAAAGAGTGCAAAATCCTTAAGACATAAATGTGCCCAGAAGGTTCAAGGGACAGCTAGGAGGCAAGTGTGGCTGAAGCAGTGTGGCAAGGAATAGCAAAAGATACAGTCAGAGAGGCAAGGGGGATGGGTGAGGACACAGGAACAGACTCTGTAGAGCTAAGCCAAACATTATAAAAATTTGATTTTACTTTGAGTGAAATAAGGAGCTACTACAGGGCTTTGAGCAGAGGAGTAACATGACTACACATTTATTAAAAATAACAAAACATAACCCCTGTTTAATTTTTAAGAAAATCAACTGATTAAAAAAGAGTAAATATTTCCTAATAAACTTCAACAAAAATCCTTGCATAAGTGAATGAGATTAAAAAATGAATACAGAGATTTATTAAGTACAGTTAATGATCTACTTACATTTGGTTTTATGGATCTTAGTAAGGTAAAACCAAGATTTGGGGTAGAAAAACAATCTAGAAGAGTACTATCAAATCACTGATCAAGAAGTTCTAGCCAAGATTTTTAGGGGAAAAAAAATCTGGTAGAAAATTCAATCGTATTGTTTTCACTTTAAAACTGTATAGTAATGTTTTGGTGACAACAAAAATGTATATTATGAAAGGTACAGTAGTACATGTATTAATAAAATAAGTAAATCAAATGCTCAAAACATTTTTATTGTTGTAGTGCCTGATCCAAAAGATTTGAAGACTATTCTCTTAGGATACAAAGAAAACATTCAACAACAAACAAGTCACTCTGATGTAGGCCTCCTCTTTGTATCCTATAATATTTCAGCATGCCTATAATTCCATGAATGATCCCTTGTTCATTTACTCCTCTGCAAAATGGCTCTCTCTATCCAAAATCACCTCTGCCTGGCCTCTACTGCTCATCTATCAAATACCTGTGATCTGGCTCCACTGCGAAGCTTTCCCCTCCCCTAGATGAAACTATGATCCTTTGCACCCTACCCCTATTCATCTCTCTCATTACAGCACCTATCAAACTACTGGCAATGTTATATGTCTGACTTGTTCATTATGTCTGTTAGCCCATGAGGCAAGGGGTCTTATCTTACTCATCTTTGTCACTGAACCTTTGGCACACAGTACACAATTCAAAAAGTACTGCTAAATAAACTAACTAACCCAGTGGTATATGCTGTGAGACTTAGTACTATAACTAATTCCTCTCCATGCCATCGGTAAATACCATATATTACCAAAAAATTAAGTCTTGGATTATTTAAATGTCACTTCTTCGTACTTTCAAAAGCAATTTATAAATAACTTTGGGGGACTCTATTTGGAGCCTGTATTTTCTACTACATCTATTAAAAGTTTAAAAAACAAAACCAAATAAACGTGTATGGAGCCATCGCACAGAAAATCTGATAACTATACAGACACTGTCGGCAGGAACCATGTTTTGATGTACGTGACTGCCTATGGTTGCATTGTACAACTAACAAATGCAATCAATACCAGGAACAGTCACATAGGTCTTACCAAAGTCCTATATCCAGGATCTGCACTCTTAAGTGAAATGTAAACTATTTCATCATCAAATTATTCCACCTAATTCCCCAGAGCCACTTTTAATAGTGTACATGTATATGAACACTATCTTATCATATATTTTTACTAACAAGCACTACAAAGGATCAGTGGGTCACTATCAGAGTTCTTTAATTTTATACTCAATATAGACTAAGAACCTGCTCCTGTAATACTGTCTACCCCAACTAAATCCATTTCTAAAAGAAAAATTGTTATAAAGTAGGTAAACCTATATTCTTACCATTATTGCTAATAAAATCTTCATGTAAAATAGGGAGATCAAGTCGAATTCGTTTTAAACAGGTCTGAAAATAAAGAGATATTTTTACAATTTCATTAACAACATTTAGGGGAAAATGGTTATTTATTCAATTGTTTCAAAAAAGCTGTTCTTCAAATAACTACCAATTTTCCTTCTCTCTACCAAGACAGATTTCAAAATAAAGACCCCAAACAGCTACTTAGCCTTAACTAAATCTCTCCTTGTACTATTTAACATTGTGAATATATTCATAATAAGCACAACACCTACCTGAACTTCCTTTTTGTTTCCTAGGTATTCAACTCTGTCAATAAAATCCTCGAATTGCAGTTTAGGGAATAGCCTGTGTGCCCAGTGCTCCATGTGTCTGATTAGTGTTTTCAAATCTTCAGCCTGGCACATAAAAATAAAAATGCTAAATAAAAACCTCATTCTCAGAACTGACCCTGTCGGCAGATTTTAGAATTGAATAGTAATGTCAAAGTCACTGGTGTCATTTTACATTTATCAGGTGAAGAAACTTTAAGAAGAAAAATAATATTAAGGGCATAGAGGATTACAGTCTAAAAGAGCACTGGATACAGACTTTTTTTTAAATCAGAGGAAAAAAACCATGAAAACTTCATAAAAGTTAAAAGATAATCACGTGTCTTTTCAGAATTCTAAAATAACACTAAAAATAAACTTTAATAAAATATGTCAAGATATCTTTTAAGAATAACTAAGAATAACTAAACAAAGTGGCAGGTCCCTAAATCATATATGGAGAAGAAAGTATTGAGAATTCAGCACTGTGAAAATATATTCAGAAATCCCAAGGGCAAAGTACCAAAGAATAGTTTGGTAAACTAGCAAGAATAGTTTAAATATTCTCAGACCACAATACCTGTCTATATTTGAAATTTCAACTTAACATTAAATTTTTTAAAAATTAAAATGAAAAACATGTTTAATAAACTGGACTAATGAGGAAAGTTCCAAATCCCTGGTTTTACTATAAAATATTTTATTCTTCTCTTAACAGTATTTTAAAGTAGAAAAATAGTTAAAAGCACATGCTCTGAATCAGACAACATAGATTCAAATCTCAATTCTACCATTTAACAGCTGTGACTGTGAACAAATTACTTCTCTGTGCCTTTTTCTTCATGTATAAAATGAGAATAATATATGTACCTCATCAGGTTATTAGGAAGATTAAGTAATACAAGTAAAGCACTGACACAAAAGTGAGCACTCAAATGTTGGCAATTATCATTGCTGTTATTTCATCTTGTCTAAGAAGCCAATAGTCAAGACAATCAACTCTACCAATAACTAAACATGTGATATTGAGAGTGTAATGTCTTACTATTCTCATTCTGATAATACAGATAGAAGTTTTTTAAAAAATTCAATCACCTAAGATCATTTTCCAATTGTTGGAGATATGTGGTCAGCCACGTCACAATGTCATGTTAGACCCAAGAGACACAAGAATAGAAATACCTAAATACAGTGGGAAGTCTCAAGTCACACATAAAGAAAAAAACAATTAGGATTCAACCTTGTGAGAAAATAAGAATTTTCAAGGGCAAAGTACAGAAAACTAGATAAATTCTTTCGGAGCCCATCTCGCCCGGTGAAACAAAATATCTTTGATATCTGTTTCTTTATCTTATTATGAAAATGATGAAGACTTCATAAATTCAAAGCAAATTCATCATTTCTACCTGAAAATTTCAATAAGGGCAATGAATTAACTGAGCTGGGTATAGTTATAATAAATCTGACTTACATTTAATTTTGTGGCAAAATAGGACACAGTTATTTATATTCTCTTCCTGTCCACCGAAGATGAGCAAATGTATACGTTTTCAGCCTCCTAGGTTTGAATTCTTGGGATTATTTCTGACTCCTTTTTCACTTCCTTGCATCCAATCAACTACAAGTACTACATGTTGTTCACCTTTTGACTACCCTATCCAAGTATTTTCACCTCATACCACTCACTGGTAGTGCAACAGCCTCTCAATTCTTATCTGCCTCCCACCTCCTCCCTCTTTCCAATTATCCTGCATACCACACCAAGATGGTGCTCACTGGTGTATTAACATTATTCTAGCCGAGCTATAAAATGGGAAATCTAGACTCTGCCCTAACTATTGGTACTGGACACTTAAAACTCTAAAACTTAATTTCCCTAATTGGATAATGGTACCAACATCTACCCAACAGGTTGAACATTCAAAGAATATATTTGAAAATACTTCATAAACTGCAAAACTCTATAAAGATAGCTGCAAAAAAATTATATCTACATTCTACATGATTCAAAGGTAAGAAAATTTTTAAATGTCCATTTGTTCAGTGATTGACTAATGTCTCCATTTTTCAACAAAATGTCTCCATTTTTCAACAAAACTTAACTGATGCCTATTATGAACTAGGCATAGTACCATATCTGGAAGACACAAAGTGATCAATACAGGCAAAGTCTTTGCTCTCATGAAGCTTAAAATCACTCTTTGATGCAGACAAATTTTCTCCCTCAAAATTATAAAGTACAAATTCAGGCTTACTGATTCAGATGTGATTTTCCAAAAGCCATACTGAGACAAAACCAAGACTACAAAGCATGTTTTCTGATTTTTCAAACAGTCCCCTTTCCACAACATCCTAGTTTCTCAAGAGATATGATGATGAATGATAGTATCTGTGAAATATTCCAAGATTCCTAAGAACATGAAAGCAGGCCTAGTTTTATAAATACAGTTGGCCTTCCATATCTGTGGGTTCTGCATCAACCAAAAGCAGATCAAAAATATTCAGAAAAAAATGTCACATTGTTGCTGATGTTGCTAGTTAGACTATATATGATGGTTGCATCTGTACTGAACATATACTTTTTTCTTGTCATTTCTTAAATACAGTTTAACAACTATTTATATAACATTTACACTGTATTAGGTATCATGAGTAATCTAGAAGTAAAGTATGTGTGTAGGTAAAATACAAATATTATGCCATTTTTTCTATAAGGGGCTTGAGCATCTGTGGAATCCACAGGGGTCCTGGAACCAATCACCCCCCAGATACAGAGGGATGACTATTTTAAAAAACAAAGATCTAAAATAAAAATCAGACATTTCTTACCTCATGACCTTTACCTTTGAATTTTGCTGTATCAAACACATGCCTTAATGCTGGAAGCCCTCTCTCTGAAATTAATCTGTGAATAGAAATATGTTTTTAATTACAAGTTTTCTAAAGCCATCAAGGCCAAACCAAGACCATAAAAAGAAAAAAGTATTACCCACTGACATGAAAATAATGTCATTAGAAATATGATCTCCAAGTCATTCCAACCAAAAGCTTACCAAATAAAAAAAAAAAATGCAAAGAAAAAGTATAAATGTCTAAGGAAATAGTAAATGTACCTCTGAGCATCTAGCTTGGGCATATTCCTTTTAACTGTTCTCTTTGGAGGTACAGGAATAGGTGTTCCTCTTCCTGGCTCTGGTAAAATATACCAAAATTAATATTAAATAACTTAAGCCTCATCTATAAAATGTAGCATTTCTAAGCTGATAGACAAATAAATGAACATGGACACTTTTCTGGAACTCTATACAAACCTTCATCAACTTCAGCTCCTTCGCCATCTTCTCTATCTGGAGAAGCTGGAGGTGGGAAAGGATTTGGAAAAGTTTCATCTTCTACATGTTCATAATCTGGTAGGTCAATCAAGCTATTCCCCTGTGGTTCCAGCATCTTTTCCTATGGGGAAAAAAAAGTAAACATGTTTATTCGTCCAAGTAGTCTTCATATTACACAGTTAAGTTCCACCTGCAGCAAAATTCATGTGTTTCAGTCAGCTAAACCATATTTGAAACTCACACATGATGAAAAGAAGTAGAGACTATAATAGTTATGTAAAAAAGAACTGGGCTAGAAATGGAAAGAACTGAGTTCTAATGTAGACCCTATCACTAAATAACAATATGATTTTGAACAAATCATTTTACTTCTATTGTTCCATTTCCCCTATCATAAAATGATTTGGACTTTTCAGAGGGCTTCAAACCATGGTCCAAATGAGTATGAAATAGACAGGGTACAGGTACCTCATCTCCCACTTCAACCAGAGCAGCTTTTAACAAAAGTCTATTTATACACTGATTTTCTAGGTAAGATTTCATTTGAAGTACCATTTTACTTGACCTCTTAGCAACATCTGACACTTTTAATCAGTTCCTTTTTCTGGAAGTGTTTCCATTGGCTTTTGAAACAATACTCACCTGGTTTCCCTCCCTTTCCGGACACTCCTCCTGGATCTTCTTTGAAGATTCATCTTTCTTCTAACCTAGTAAGTATCCAAGATTCCATCCTAGGTCCTCTCTACTCATTTACACACATGGCTTTAATAAACATTTACAGATGACTAATTTTTTAGTGAGTCAAATCTGAGCTCCAGATCCCTACTTCTCATTTTATAGCTCTTAAATTTCTCAAAAGCACCTATAACTTATTATGTGCAAAACCAAATTTCTACTTTTCCCAATTCACTGAATGTCATCTATCCAGCTACGCAAGTCAAAAACCTACAAGTCATCCTTGACACTTTCTTTCCCCTACCCTACATATCCTGTCCATTTTAATTCCTAAATATCCCTTGGATCTGTCCATTTCCCCCTATCTCCACAACCACTTCCTAATATTTCTACTTGGATTACTCCATTGCTCCTATCCACTTCAAACTTGAACCTTTGGAAATGTAAAGCTGACCACATTACCACTAGGTTAAATATTTCAATGGCTTCCTACTGCTCTTAGGATAACGATAAAACTCCAAGGCCTTGCATGGTTTGGTATCCTACTTCTCCAGCCTCACTTAACACTACTCTCCATTCTCTTTTCTTTCAGTTTTTTTAAAGAGCCATATTCCTCAGACAATTGGACTTTTGCAAAAGCTGTTTCCTATCTTGAAGGCTCTTCCTGACTTTCAGATTGCAAATATCACCTTCGCAGAAAACTCTACCCCAACTTCCCTAAATTAAATCCTCTTATAAGCATTCAAAAATGCATCAAATACAAGTTTCATAGCACTAACCCAATTTCAATATTAAGTTCTATTTGTGTGATTATTTGATTAATGTTTGTCTCCCATACTAGACTGTAGCTCTAAAAGGGTAAAGAGGCAAAAACCATGTAGGTCTCTTTGTGCTTCCTCACTGTATCCCCAAAGGTGGTACACAGAAGATGCTAAATAAATATTTGTTGAATGAAGGAAGAAGAGAATTCCAAAGCTTCCCCAAAACTAAAACTACTGGAGTTAGGTGATCTCTAGTCTCTCCAATTCTAAATTTCCATGACCGTAAGTACATAAAAACAAAACAAGTATCAACTGCTGATGATGACCCAGTGTATCTTCAAGTAAGGCTCAAGAACCATAGATTTTCAAAATTAGAAAGGCAGTTAGAAATCATATACTCTCAAGCAGTTTCCTATGGACAATAAATATAGTTAGCCCCATTCTAGTTAAGGCCTCTGGGAAGAAATGGGGTTCACACCTTTGAGGCCAACAGGGAGCTCTGAGTTTGATGACAACGCACAAACTATATATAAGTGTGGCAAGATGCAGCATAAGGTACTAAGCATGGGATGGGGCTTGTCAGTAAATTGGTAGTGAATAAGGTATCTCTATCTTTCACTTCCTGACAATGGTTGCATACTGTCTCTTTTCAGACATGGATGAAATTCTCTTGACTTCTTCCTCTAGCCGTCAAGCTCCCAGAGAAGTGAAGGTAACAATGGAACTACTGTTCGTTCCCAGACCCTTAGGTGTCCAATGTACGTTTTCCAACTTATCAAAAGAGAGGCCCCTTTCGCAAGGGAAGTCCTACCAGATGGACTATGTGTACCTCTTTGCTAACCATCCCTAAAATCACTAAATTCCCCGTCCCATCCATTCTCCAACCTTCTCATCCTCGGTCTCCTGTCTATTCTCTCACTTCGACTTCATTCATTGAATGTTTAGAGGCCCCTAGACGGAACCTGGCCACGTAACAATGTATCTGATACACATTCCCTCCCGCTTAAAGGCTCGGTTTAGTGATAGAGGCCGACCTGAACCATAAACAAGTAAAAGAGCCCGCCCCCTTCCCCACCTGCCTCCTCTCCCCGCAAGGTCGTAGGTAGTCAGGCCTCTTCTCCTGTTCCGCTCAGCCCACGTCCGCCTCAGTCCCGTCCTCCAGCCTCCTCACTCCCTACCTGCGACTCCTCAGCACCCCGGCTGCCCAGCCTGACTGCCCTGGTTGTCTCTCCCCAGGAATTTCACTCTCCCGCCAGACCGCTCTCACTTCACGCAGACTGCAGTGGCCACAGAATCAGGATTGGCGCAACGCGCAAGCCGTGCTTCTCGCGAGACTCTAGAGCTAACGCCGCGAGAAGAGCCCTCCGTGTTTGGCGCCAAATCTGCGCGCTGCGAGAGCAGTACTGCCAGACCCGCCTTCCTCAGGTCATACCACTCACTACTGACTGCTTTTCCGGCGTCCCGCCGGTCCCACCGACCCTGTCCCCACTGCTTCCTTCCTTCTAAATTCTTTGAAGCCCACATATTTGTATGATGTTCACCTTTGTTGAGCTCTAGGTACTTTAGACTTTGGAAATGTCTCAGTGTTTTAGAAAACGGGATTGTGGGTGGAGTATAAAGGATAGAGACAGAAAATTTGACGAAGAACTACCAATTCGGAGTTAACAATTCTTTGAACATGAGAGTTTTATTGTTTACTGAATAATGAACTGTGAAAAGATAAGGTAAAGAGTTAGGAGTGTAGCCACATGCACAAAACTGGGGGGGAAATATGTAACTCATCTGTGGGGATAGAAACTTTAATTTTTTGAACATATAAATGCATTAACTATTCAAAAAACAAAGTTATCTGCAGCAAATACAGTATCAAGATTTGTTAAACCAAGATGAGTAGTCCCTGCAACATTCCATTTTTTTTGTAGCTCGAAATAGTAAAATTAGAATAAATCGAATGTGTGAAAATAAAATATGTAAGTTTAGCTATCTAAAATTATGTGTGCAAATATATGTATATACCACATTTTCCTTAATTTTATGGTTTTATTTCTATGCAAAATAACAATGTTAAACAACTGAATTAACATGAATTTGAACTGGAAATATGTCAACCTCTAGAATCTGAATAACTGAAGCAAGAGGCATTCTTCTAATCCAAATAGTTTCTAGTCTCTATGTCTAATAAAGTAAATAAAAAAGCACTTTGAGAAATTAAAGTTATATACTACCCTCTCTCCCACCAAAAAAAAATTTGCCTAGAGCAGAAGCTTTGGGTTTGAATCTCAGTTCCATCATTTACTACTTAGTGACTTTTGACTGTTTCAATTTCCTCATTATTAATAATAATACCTACTTTATAGGGTTATGAGGATTAAATGATAGTACGTAACAAATGTTACCTATTATCATCCATATAATTTTTAGAATGTTTGACCCTTTTAGAAAAAGAATTCGATAAGTAATTGCGGGCCCATGTGAATATAATGACCACAGTTGTAAGGCATTGACATATTATTATCAAAGACCAATAATTGTCTCTTTTTTTCATAAATGAGGAATCTAGAAATATATTTTCCTTAGCAATTGCACCAGAGATATAAAGATAGCTTTCCCATAGACTATGTCATTAAAACTTTTAAAACAATTTAATGTTTTTAAAAGTGAAGTGTTAAAAAAAAAAAAAACTATTAAAAACCAAAGATTGAGTACAGAGTGCAAAAGTTATTTCAGCAAGCGAGAAACACGGTCCAGATATGAAGTTTGAAAAAGGAGAAATGGGGTAAATCTTTTAAAACCAAAAGATTAAAACAAAGTCTTTGAGTCATATTGATTGGCTGGTGTTATTTGAACTTATCACTTAGGTAAGTGCTGGGCTGGCTAGTGGTAGTGGTCTGCCGTGTACTTGAGGACTCCATCTCAAGGTTATGATGTCTTTTTGCCCCTACCTTGCAGATGACAGCTGGAATTGTATCACTCAGTCAGATCTACATCAGCATTAGTAATAGAAGTAGCCAGGCCAGAGATTATGAATTTGGATATGGTTTAGCTACAAATAACAGGAAAAAATAATAAACTAAATAAAAATAATAATAAGATAGAAAGTTTGTTTCTCATGTACAAAAACTCTGGAAGTAGTAAGGCTACAGTTGATATTTATGCTCCATGATATTAGAAATCCAGTCTCCTGTCTTCTTGCTTTACCATCTCAAGATCATCTCATTGTCCAAGATAGTTTCTAGTTCTAACT